CCTCCCAGGGGCTGCTGGAGCTGCCCTGCAGGGCCGGGGAGCTGCCCCGGAGGATGGGGCTCAGTGCGAGGCCGTGGGCTGGGCTGGGGTTTTGTTTCTGCTCAGGCTCTCTGGGAGCATCCTCTGCTTTACCTTCCCCTTCGGTAGGAAACGAGTCCCTGAGGGACTTGGGAAGTGTTAGGGAAGGGCACCAAGGTTTAGTTTTGGTAAAGGGATGGTGGAGGCTCCTGGGATGAGCTTTCCAGCGCTGTCCTGTGTGTTGACCACAACGAGGCCCCTCTGGCAGTGCTGCCGGGCTCAGCCCCGCCGTTGTGCCTTTGCAGTCGTCACCGTCCACGCGGACTCCACCGTGCAGGTGCTGGCGGAGGAGGCGGTGACGATGGACATGCTGGATCTGGCTGTGAGTACCCGTGGGCCGGCTGAACCCTGCCTCCCTCCTTGGGGCAGGCCCTGGCAGCCCCGCTCCTTCCTGGGGGGGATTTTCTCCCCACTCTTCTCTGGGGTGGTTGCTTCGGGAGCTTCCTGTGGCTGCAGAAAGCACACGCAGACCACGGGCTGTGCCTTCACCCCGAGCTTCCCCATCACCCGGTGATCAGGATCCGGGCAGAGGAAGCCACGCAGTTGTTAACCCTTCCCCAGGCCATTTCCCTCCCCTCGGACAGACGCTGATCCTGCCCCTCCCCTCTCCCTTGGTCTCGGAACCGCTTTTTCGCAGCAGGGGCTGTTGATAAGGTGGCTGCTGCCAGCGCAGCCCTGTCAGCGGGTCTGGGGGGCCCGGGGTGTGGGGCTGACAACTGCAGTGAAGGGAGGGGGTGACACAAGGGCTGTAGGACAGGTCACCTCTCAGTGACACATTCCTCGTGCTCTCGTGTTCAGACTGCAAAGTCAAACCTGGAGAAGGCTGTTTCAGAGATGGCTGCAGCATCTGATGAAGCAGCTAAAGCAGAAGCTCAGATTAAAGTAGAAGCTAACGAAGCCCTTGTCAAAGCCCTGGAGTAATTAG